AAGAGCCAGAGAGAGGCAGAGTTCCGTGGCACCTTTAAGACCAAGGAAGTTTTATTCCAGGTATAAGCTTTCATGTGCCAGCACACTTCTTCAGAGAGAGGGAGGTAGAGAGGGGGAGTGAAAGAAACAGAGAGAGAGAACTCCCCCTTTCCAGTTCTAATGGGGAAAAGATACCTAACAGCAAAGCTTGCAATCTTTATTAATTAGGGTTGCCAGGTCCAACTCAGGAAATACCTGAGGAATTTGGGGGTGGAGCCAGGAGACTTTTGTGATGTCATGTCCTGAGGTGTCACTTCCAGGTCACAGGTCAAGTGATGTCACTTCAAAAGCTCCACCCCTTCTGGTTATGTAACTTCCAGCACACTGCACCAAAACCCACCTCTTCCTCTGAAGTCACTTCCTTCTTTCAAAACTCACATTTAAATACACTATCTTATATCACTTCCCACCCCTACCTTTTTTCAATTTTACGTTATCTGTAGGCTTTTAGGCACTGGCAGTCTTTAAGCAGCAGCTGGACAAATACTTGTCAGGGATGTTTTAGGTTGATCCTACATTGAGCAGGGGGTTGAACTAGATGACCTGTATGGCTCCTTTGAACTCTGTGATTCTATAATTCTATTATTCTTCCTTAAATGTTTAGAATGCTGCTGCTGTTCAATTTATTTACTATTTGCACATTGCTTTTCTCCTCAAGGGTACCTAAAGCTGCTTACAACTACATCCTGCCCAAAAAATACAACTCTAACTTACCTTCCCAAAGTTTTTGGGATGATTTATTTCTCTCTGAGCTCCTTGGGATACATATGCATTGTATGCATTATAATAAAAACAAAGAAGTATGTGAGTTAGGAAAAAGACCACCAGACAACGTAGTCCTTCACACTATGAAAAATATACAACAGAAAGGCCAAAATACCTGAGGTTGAACACTACGCCAAAAACCACCAAAATCACAAATACACCTTCATGCAGAAGAGTCACAATTATCTTTTGAAAAAATTGTGGCTGGGATCCAGAGAGCTAAGGTACCGGCCTGCAAGCAACTGGCTCTTGTCTGCTTACTACTTCCTGTTCCTGCTTCCTTGTTCCGCATCACAGCTTGCTTTTGCCCAGCTCTCTCCTCTCCTGTTTTCCATTTTGCAGAGGAGAGAGCCAAGCCTCCCTTCCCTCAATTGGCTAAGGGAGGAAAGGGAAGGAGAGAGAGAGAGAGAGACGGACTCCCATGGACCAATGAAGTTTGATTCCAGGTATAAGCTTGCTTGTGTGCACACACTTCTTCAGAGAGAAAAGGAGGGAGGGGGAGTGAAAGAGCAAGAATATGCCAAGAATTAACATAGTAAGCTCTGGATTCTATGACAGTGAAGTTAGATATAAACAAAGTTACTCGCAAACACAAGATACCTCTCATTTTGCAGCCCAGCTCAAAAACTACTGCCAAGAAGTTCCATTTTTAGTGCATGTGCTGCCAAAGCACTGTTGTCCTTGCTTTCCAGAAGGGCAAATAAATCATCCACTTCCTGGTATTAAAATACATTTCTGTACACAAGTGGACAGTAGCTCCAAATTCCATGCAATGTTATCTTAACAGAATAGCAAGTTTGAATAAGTACATGTTCTTTGAATACAGGTACTATTAATAAGGTTTGGTTTTGTTTTTAGAAAGACACAACCTACTATGATATCATAGTTCAGTGACAGAGGGCATGGAAGACATCAGGTTTAATTCTTAACATGCCAAGTTGATGGGTTTCAGATAGCAGAATGTGAAAGACTTCTGCCTCAAACCTTGACAGTCATTGCCAATCAGAGTAGACATTACTGGACTAAATGGGCCAGGGGCCTGACAGTATAAATCCACTCTTTATCTGTGTAAGGTCAGAGCCCATCAAGGCTGTTCAGCATAACCAGCTGTTGCAGAACAAGAGGATAATGGGAAACACTTTACAAAACAATTCTGCTAAGATATACTGAAGAGGTAACGGACGAAGAAGAGTCTGAAGAAGACTCAAGAGGCATATGTAGTACTATAGGAAAAAGAATTTTGCTGATTATAACCTAAGATGTTAAGGATGTAGACAGAAGCATCATAAGTACAAAATAAACAGCTCTGAACATTACTATATGAAAAGCAACTTTGAGTTTCTCCAATCATCATCTCTTCCAAAAAATCCTAAGACACAGGACACATCAGCCCCATTTTATGGGAAGTCATAGTATTTATTGAGATCTTACCAGCAGACCATGTGATTTTCACTTTTTTGCCTATGCTACATTCAGTTTTAAAGGTAAAGGTTCCCTTGCTCGAAAGCCAGTCGAATCCGACTCTAGGGTTGCGGTGCTCATCTCCATTTCAAAGCCGAAGAGCCAGCGCTGTCCGAAGACGTTTCCATGGTCATGTGGCCAGCATGACTAAACACCAAGGCGCACGGAACACTGTTACCTTCCCACCGAAGTGGTACCTATTTATCTACTTGCAATTTCTTGCTTTCGAACTGCTAGGTTGGCAGGAGCTGGAACTAGAGATGGGAGCTCACTCCAACATGCGGCACCCGGGTCTCAAACTGCTGAACTACTGACCTTCCACAGCCTGCAATTCAGCGTCTTAACCAGCTCCTGCCAACCAGCTCCTTGCAGTATTAAATACCAACGTACGCACAGTAATTGTATCTGCAGCGCAGACTGTAACGGGAGATGTCGGGAAGAAACCTGACTCACATTAACAAGCCCAATTTTCCTGTTCGGTACGGAGCGGATAAACTACGGCCCAAACTGAGGACCATTAGTAAAAATAAAAATAGGGACACATTCCTCTACACGCAGTCACATGCATGAGCAGTCCAACCCATAAAAACGTTAGATTAAACCCAACATTCCCCACTTTTCCCTCAACCTTCCTCTTCCCCACCCCACGACACTTTTATAATTCCAACTAGCACGTCTCCCAAGGTGAGGCAAGCTATGAGCTCGCAAGTGTGAGCCCCCCCCCCCCCCAACCTAAAGAACCAGGAAATGACACAGAAGAACTCAGCTCCATCTCACCCGCGTGCGCGGCGTTCGCGGCCTTGAGTCAAGCGGTCCGACAGCCGACCAAGCAGCGCGGCCAAAGCAGGCCTCCCCCGGGGCAAAAACTCTAAAAACCGCCTCCATAGAACAGGCGCCTCGGCCACCACAACCGCCGCCATGGAAACCTTGCTACTTCCGTTTCCGGGTGACGCAGCCACTTCCTTTCCGTTGTCCCTGAGGTGCGACACCGCCACTTCCGGTTTGGGCAGGCGGCGGTGGCTGAGTATAGTGGCAAGGAGAGTTTGTAGAAACTAGACAACTTTCGCCAAAAGGTGACTCTTTTCTTAAAATGTGACTCGTTAGCAAAGTAATGGCAGAAATAATATGTAAAACATAGTTGCGTCAAAGCATTTTTCAGTCTTCCGATTTTCGCGCTCCAGTCATGTGTAACGCGAATATAGGCTGTGCACAGTCCTTCCCATGTGCGTTTGCCACTTCGTGCGAAGGGAACTCATTGTGCGTATTTTCCATGTATGTAAAGCTTCAGTATTCACAGATGTATTCCCACCAGAACCGGAGTTCTGTTCACGAGGACCAAAGCTATATGTGCAAGGAAAATACACGTGACCAGTTATATAAAAGGCAACATGAGGGGGATCATGCATAGTGTCCCTTGTACTCACGATTGAAGTGCCAAAATCAGATGTCTAGAACATTAATTGTATATTCTAGTTTATAGGGTAGTGTGTGAGCCAGTGTGGTGTGGTTACAGTGTACCTGGGGTACTCAAGTTTGAATCCCCACTCATCAGTGGAAGCTTGCCGGATGACCTTGGGCCACTGATGCATCTCTACCTCACAAGGCTGTGAGAATACAATGCAAAGGGGAGAATAGTGTAAGGCACTTTGGGTCCCTATTGGGAAGAAAAGTGGGCTACAAATGAAGTAAATAGATAGTATAGTTTTTCTACTGCTCAAGGTTTAGTTGTAAACTAAATGTAGAGGTTTGATCTTAAATTTGTGAGTTCTCTGCACAGTCATTCCTGTAGTCAATTAAACCCTGCCACCTGCCCGCATGAGTACTCTGTCCACATTAGTACATGTTACATTCGCACTATAGCATTTGAAGTGGGAACACACATGAATCAGCTGTTTTAAAAAGCATTTATTTCCAGCATGGGCAAATTAAGGTCAACTGATGCCCTAAGCACATCCAAATAATGGTGCCTCTTGGCACTAAAACTTACCTCATGTACATGAAAAACCAGTAAAATAAATAATAAAATAAAGAGCTTAAGGGTCCGTTATACAAACCAGCTGATGAGTTAAATGCTAGCAAGAAGTAGCCACCTGTGTTTACACTCGACTAAGTGAAACTCTTATGCCATGAGCCAGAAACAAATGTAGTATCTGATGACACCTTCAAACCTAACTTTTAAACTTTAGTCACTCACCATGCCAAAGAAAACATTTTTGACAATGCAAATTAAAACCGAACATGGCAGATAAGGACAATTACAAAAAAAAATTGACTAGAGTGTGGCAGTGAAAGAGTTAATGGCGTACTAGCTAGGGGGGAACTCTGTGGTGCCCCCTTTCCCTTGGTGCCCTAAGCACGTGCTTATTTTGCTTAATGATTAATCCAGGGCTGATTTCCAGTCACAGAAGTAGGGGTTGTGATCTTCATTTGTGCTCCCACTAAAACACATTAATTTATACACAAGTACTGACTAAAAAAAAAATTCAAAGTTTTTTGTAAAGTTTCTGAATATGCATATGTACTACTTTTCAAGGGAATTTGAAAAAGAAGGAGAATCAAAGTTGAAGCTCTTTCTGACTGCCTGTTCAGCCTGATTGCATGAATTTTCACACAGACATAAGTCCCACTAAAATGGTCAGTGCTTATCTACAAGTATGTGTGCATGGGACTATAGTCTTAATGGAACAGTTTTGCATCAGTCAGAATTAAAGGTTATGCATAATTCAACATGTGGGATTTAAGGAGTGAGGGGAAACATGTCATTTCAGAGCAAGGGGGGGTAGGGCAGCTGGGCCTGTCTGTCTCTTTAACAGCTTAGCACTCGCAAAAGAAGATGCTGCTAAAGGCTGGCCCACTCTTGTGGCAGTTAACAGACTTGACAGTGCCATTCTAAACAGAGTTACACACTTCTAAGCTCATTGACTTCAGTGCACTTAGAAGTGTATTAATTCTGCTTAGGTGGCATAAGCTTTCATAGACTACAGTTCACCTCATCAAATGCAATCTTAGTTGGCAAATACTTATATGGTTATTGGGGAGCAGGGTTCCATGAAATGCAAGAAGTACCAGTGTGAGAAACCCTCATTTTTATTAAACCATAAGGAAATCACTTTAAGGAAGGATTTGACAGATTCATGAAGGGTAGAACTATCAGTGACGACTAGCAACTATAACCAAAAGGAAACGTCATATCCAGACGTCGTAGACCTCTGAATACCAGTGCTGGGAGGACACATCAGAGGGAGAATTTGGCCTTTATGCCCTGCATGTTGACTCCGCAGGGCGCTGTGTGAAACAGGATGCTGGACTGACAGCACAATTCTGGCGGGTTGGAACTAATCAGCACAGAGACCCGACTGTCCTGAATGCCGGCATAAGTCCGGTTTATGCCAGCGTAATGGCCAGTTATGTCAGTGCAGGGCACTAGTGGTGCTGTGCCCCGCAGTACCACTGGTGCAGCTGTACCACTGCAGCAAACCGGGGAAGCTCCAACAAAAACCCCTACGCCGGCGGGGAAACAGAGTGTGCCGGGACATGGTGGCATTATGGTGGCTCCCTAAGTGCTTCCAATGCAGGAGTGCCTCCCTGAACAGGGGCAAACTTGTGCTTGCCAAGAATGCTGGCATAGCCCATTGGGTCCCATTTTGAACCAAAATGCATTCCCCCCTCCCGCTACTGTAACCACACTCAGGGGACTCCAAGCAGCTTAGGATACCAACTAAGGGTGCATCCAATCAGCACCTTCCTCAAAATGGGTGCACCCCCTCCCCAGCACCCAATCATGCCCCCCCAAATGCGTCTCCCCAGAACTCATGAGGTAGGGTGCGTGGCATGGCACGCTATCTGACAGCTCCCTGGTGTGCAGACTTAGAGCGAGCGCAGATGCACACTGGTAGCAGGGCAAGTACAGAGGGGCACGTACCACAACCAGGGGAGCACCTGGAAGGAACACACCACAGGCACCCAAAGAGGTGCCTATCTCCTCTCCCAGGATCCAAAGGGGCAGCTCCACATGAACAGGTAAGCAAGGAACCCTTTTCTCAACCCCCTTCACTTCCTTGGCCAACAAGAGTGGCACAGAGCTGCACTGGCCATGGCATCTCCCGGTCCCAGCAGCTCCCCAAGCCCCTACAATCCCCACGCACCAAACAGGTGGGTGCGTGGAGGCCTAGCTGAGGCAGCTGCCGGAGCAATAGGCCAGATGGGATGCCTCAGCACTGGCCTGCCCGCCACACAAGTTGGCAGGGTCCACCCCCACAGCGAGTGGGAAGGGCCACCAACCAGAGTGCTGAGCGATGACATATGATGGCCAAATCTTCTCCCCTGCAGGAACAGATGGCCCTGACGCAGCTGACGATGTGCCCTTGCCAAGTGCTGCCAGAGCAGACATGAGGGAGAAAGAAGTAGAATGTGGTCTGGATACAGGGGTCGGGGAGGCCTTGCCACATCAAACTGCCTGAGGGGGCGCTCACTGCTCTGCATGGTGGCCCTTCTTGGAGTACCCCGTGCCTGGCAAGCTGTCAACAGGGAATGCTGGCCCCTGCTCCTCCATGTGTTTCCCTCCTAACACAGGTACCAATCCAATAGTGAGAGACGTCACCCCAACCGCCACGCCACTAGCCGTCCGTGTGCCCTGTCCGCAGAAGGAGGCAACTCTCAGAAGCATGCATGGACATTCAGCCTCCGGCATTTCACACCCAGGCCCATCAGGAAGGTGCCCCGGAAGTCAAGGAGCACTTGGCACTATGTCCCAAAGCACTGGCCTCTCACCCTAACCGCTTGCTTGTTTCTGGGTCCCTTCAGTTAAGGTTAATAAGAGTGCCTCAACTCAGGTATCCGTGTGTGTTGTGGTCTCTGGTGGGAGGGAGGCTGTAGAGGCTGCTAGGCGATCCAGATGCCCCTTCCGGACACAACAGAGACATGGGCATCATCCTCACAGTAATGCTGCCAGAGGACCATACACAGATGAGGGAGGGGAAAGGCTATGGGCTGCCCCCCCCCCAGTCAGTCAGAAGGAGCTCCTAAGTCCCAGCTTGAAACGGGGGGGGGGGTGTCCTGGCACCTTAGGGATCCTCTGGGAGAATGCCGTAGGTGGTGCCCTTGGGAAGGCGCCTGGGTGGTGTTGCAGTCCCATATGGCGCCAGCGTGGCTAGGAAGGTCTGGCAGGGGCCACCTCGCCAAAGGCGTTGTGGGGGCACTGGCCATTGCTGCAGAGTGGCTTGCCCACATTTGGAAACCAAGCTGGTCAGTTACACAGGGTAGTCCCCTATGGAGGCCCACAAGGGCTGCCAGGATCCCAACAGCCCTGGGTAGATTTGGGTATGCAAATGGCAGGCTGGAACAACACAAAGCAGTGTTTAACTTGCTCTGTCAGCTGCCAGTCACAAAACTGATTGGCACTGGCGATTCTGAGCTATAGCTCCAGGGGTGGGGTACCATGATGGAAGAGGCCGTTGGTACATGTGCAGGTCACAGCCCCTCACAATCATCCCAGGGCCCTGTGTCCACAGCAGGGCCGGCTCACTCACTAGGCAAACTAGGCATTTGCCTAGAGTGCACCGGCCCTTAGGGGCACCAAACTGCACCCCACCCACCGCTCTTGGGGCCTGTCCTGAGGGGCTCCTCCGCGGCCTTGGGGCTGCACAGAGGAAAAGGAGAAGGTGGCAGCGGAGAGGTGGGCTGGCCGCGTGGCATCCTTCCTGCCTTCCGAGTCCTGCCCTTGCTCGAGTGTTTCCCCCTTGCAGTCGGAGAGGAGCCAGCGGAGATGGTGGGGCTGCTAAGTGGGTGTCGCCTTCCTCCTCCTCCTCGTCGCACACTCATCAGAGGTTCAGTGTGCAGCAGTGGTGCCTCCAACTAAGGCTCAGGATCCCTTCTTCCCGGTGCCCCCGCCTCCCCGCCTGCTCGTCTCCTTTTGAAGTTATGCAG